AAAGAAAAAGAATACGACGAGTTTCGTGTTGACCGTGACAAAATTTTTTTTACTCCGAACATGTTAATTAAAAAACTACATCGAAAACACACAAGCAGCGTGTTCCAATGTTCACCTTTTAAACTCGTTACGAGAACGAAACGTTGATGGCTCTTATCAGCATCCCAATCTCAAACCAATAATTTACACACGTCGAGTCCTGTGATCTGCATTCAGGTAAACAAATCGTTCTCACTAAATCCAATTCGATCGAATTCAATTTATGTTCCACGATAAAGATCTCCCGACCGTGAGACACTGCGCATGCGCGGACAGTAAGACCGGGAATTTTAAAAAGTACCAACGTATATCTCAGGCTTCAGTCCGTACCGATACGTTTTATCCTACCGATCGATCAATACCTTTGATCGATCGGCGTTTTGCGCTACGCATACTCATACTCAAGTATGTGTTATACTCATATGATATACTGCTGTACGATAATAACGTGTGCAAGGGCCAAAACACGTTTGGCAAATTTCTTGGAAATATTCCGAGACCGTAAGTATGGTCGTGAGAATACAGTGACCATAATTGATGCATGATTTATGTTATGGCATGTAGAGGCGATCGGATTGTTATTGATTTTAATAGGATACGATTTTAATTGGACAGATTGGATGTTCGTGCGTTCCGTTAGGCAGGATAAGGAGCTTATGTTGTACCTTATACGGCGCTATAGCGTTCTAGGGTTGCATGATAGTGGTTCATCGTAATTCCATGCGCCGCATTATTTCCTGTATGTTTAATGCTAAAGCGTGCATTGTCATTATAAACTGTCGCATTGTTTTACAGGGAAGTCCTTAACGATGCTAAAATTCCAATTGTTCGATAATATCGTTATTTTGTATTTATATATGACATATACAATTTTCTCCCTATACCATTAGAAATATCTCGATATAATCACTGATCAGGGTATATAACAATTCATATGAAATTCCACGAGGAAATATTCTAATATGCGTTATCGAGAGAATCCATCTGCGGTTTTCACTACGATACCAAGAAATCATGTGCTATATACAATTCCATTGAGATCCTTTCGTGTTACTAACCAGTAATAATCAGTGTTTGTAACGAAACCAAAATAATGAATTATCTTCTGTGAAATTAACATTATAATCAAAGCAAATTTCAACATTGTGGTTGTTAATCATAGGAGAAGATAACCACAATTTAAATAGTGTAAACTAGTTCGAGATAATATTACTAAACTTTGAGGTTTTCGTTATCAAACGTAAAATCCGTCGAAATAATTATCTCGGTTATCGGATAATGGTGCTGAAAAATCTTCCTGGAATAAACGTACATTTCCACTTAATTAACGAGAAACATGACTATACCAAATCTATCCTTCAACTACGTAGAACCTTGCAAAATTACTCAAAGCGTAATATCGTATACACTACAATATAGTCTTTTAAAAAGAGAATATAATATAACAACAAATTTTACTCTGGTAAAAAAAATTCATAATCAGGTCAAAGTACTTTCAATTAATGAAAATCGGCGACAGTATCGAACACCGCAACTCTTTTATAAATAGCGTCCGGCTACGTGAAAAAAAAAAAAAAAAAAACTAAAAAAGCACTGTAACCTTGCAAGCGATTATCGTACTGAACGTCGGACACTTCAAAGGAAAATAGTTAATGTTTTATGTTTTATGCACGCAGCCGTGGTATTAATGCCGCGAGAATTACTCGGTAACGTATTAACGTTATCCAACAAATATCGCAAGATCGTTCTTGGCGACCATAATAGACCGCCTTTACTACCTAATGGCAGAAACATGTTACACCTTCGGTGGTTTATCTTGCACGAATGTAGGCCAGAAATGCAAGCTGCAGTTTCGTGTATACAATATAAAGTGCAACAAAAGTACTGTATAATCGGTCGCAAAGCTACAGTATGGGTTCTGTATGCTGCTTGTATGTTCATTTGCAATGTCAATGCTAAAGAATTAACGACACTAATTTATCTTGTTCGAATGATTATCAACTCGAACTCGGCTCATGAGATAAGACTAATCGATCTTATACATGATTCGATTTAAATATGCAATTGCATATACTCAACTGCTTTCTACAAGCCGCTTACAATTATGTCCACTGGTACGATTGACTGCGATGGACTAAACCGAATGATACTAGACGTTGAATATTATCGACGTTATGTGAAAGTTATTTCGTTTGTTGAATTCACTTGAATAACCCAACCTAACTCTGGATCTGTACTGGAGGAACAGGCTTGTAATCAAGAAGCGATTAATCCGATCCAACGATATCTTCCGTATTGAATAGTATAATAAGAACTTTCGTAATCGGAATTCCTACTGCGTTGCTGCATAGTATGTATATATTTACTAATACGCATATGTGGACTATCTACATATGATAATTTTCTACCTGTAAAAATACGATACGAAAAAAAAATGATTACTTCAATCGCATTTAGATATCTTTCTCGAAATTAGATATAATCTTTATATCAGACAAGATATACAAGGTGGGCCATTTATAGTGATCAGGTCGATTTTTTTCGAAAGCCAAGCTAGATAGAAAAAAAATGTTTGAGACAGAAATTGTAGGGTTTTTTTTTGGGGGGGGGAGGGGTGGAAGATTCCGTTATTGAATTCCTTCCTGAGTGCAAGTGTTAATTCGAAGGTCAATTTACATGTTTTCAATAGCATGATGCACTTTTTCTTCCGGAAATCAAAATAGCATTCAATTTTGAGTCTAAAAGTACGAGTACACTAATGACCCCAAATTGACAGATATTTTAAAAATAAGACAAAATATCTGTTCTTTTATCGGAAAATTACAGTTACATTAATTTCTGATTCGAAATATTGTTCTTGAGTAAATATAGAAGAGCAATAACGTTCAAACAATAATATATTATATCTATAACCAAAATATATTTGCAATTCCGTATTTGGTGCTTAACGAGCGTAATACGATGATATCGTTAATGTCAAGCTACAAAAATGAAAATGGCTCGTGAGAAAATTTGAATTATGCTCCTATTGCGTCAAAAAAGCAGAAGAGCGTATAAACATAGGATTATCAACAGGCATATGCTCTTTCGCTTTTTGTCACTCGACGTTAAATAAGAGCTATTGCATCGAATGCACTTGTGAATCGAAGGAATTTTTCAAACCAACGAGCAGAATAAAAAATAGTTATATATATAAGAACTACGAAATCCAACACTACGAGACAGATATACTCAAGTGCTCATATCACAGCCAGAATAATTGGCCTCTATGTCTTTCGTCTTCCTTACCGACCGAGTCAGGAGTTATAATTCGACCTGAAATTCTTATATGCACTATGTGTCACATACGAGCTGGTTTTTCGTGACATCGGCAATCGACATCGTGAGGCTACAACGAGCGTGATCTCCTACGGCCAGGGGAGGCCAACCAAGAATTTAATCGGGCCTCCATCGCGATCACTTAGTTTGATTTAGTAATATTTCTATGTTTCATCGGTAAGAATCAAGAAAAAGTGCGTTCCTTTATAATTTCAAAAAAAATTAAACTTCAAAAAATATGTAGTTCTAGGGTGCATACTTATCAATATAGAAAAAAGCTGTCCTTTACAAAATATTTAATATAATTTTCTGATTAGGGCGACATTAATCGATTGCTTTTCAAAAATTTTTACTTAATCTCGATACATTTCTTACAGTAAACTTTATGGTTAATTTAATACGATGCTCACAGTAGCCACCACGTTCCAAGAAAATGTTTTGATGCTCCCGTATATAACTGTAATCAACGTCCAATTGCCAAGGATGAAGCGATACTTTCTTCACGGCTGTATTCCATACGTCTTTTTTCACCTTTTTCTTTTTCTTAGTACCTATCCTTTACTACTTGACTTGTATTTCCCAGGACTAAAGAAGCTTCCTAGACCACGATAATGGAGTTGGTTTTATGAGCTCGGCGTCTACACTACCGCCAGGCATATGACTATATTTGCCTAAGCAATTCCTGCAACAATAGTCCCTATTTACCTTAGCTCAGCTAAACAGTCGCACCACGACAACGATCCCTACACGTCGTCCTAACATCGAAACACTTCTAGCTACTTTTCGTTTTGTCTTCACGCAATTCACAACACGGACCTCGCTACAAGGAAGACGAACACACAGTATTCATATCCCCTTTAAGAACGTCCCACCTTTTGTAGAAAGGCTAATTCGTGCCCCTGGTATCATCGATTCACCTGGAATGACACGAGCAGCTGTAGTAGCCCTCACTCGACCTATTTCACTCTAAAAAAATATGAACCAACCCCACGAATAGATTATCTTCGAAAAACAAAAGAGCTGGCTCATGAAAATGAAACACGATCCACATGATCAATAAAAAAATGCATCATACCTCCAACATATATCTTTATAACCTTCATTATCATAATATTAATATATGAGCAGTTAGCCTAATCAAATCGCGTAAGAGATATACCGAGGTGTGTAGGCTAATACGCATACTGTACTTGATCCTATGTATATGCACATAAGACACGTAGGCAGGGTGGTCAGCCCTCACTCTTTGATTATTTCAATAGCAGTGCCCAGTCGTACGGCACGAGTTCTGGCAGTCCTCGTGTCAGCGACACGTGGCTGCCTCAAGACTTTCGTCCCGTGAGCACCGCTGGACGCGTGGCACCAGAAGACAGAGCACGCAGAAGGTGCGTCTGACTGCGGGTGCAAGTGAGACAGCAACAGGAGGACCTGCCTTTGGTAAGAGTCGTCGGAGAGGGTCGGCCAGTGTGCGAGTGAGCGAGTGAACGGAGCAGAAGATTCTAGAAGAGAGAGCGAGACAGAGAGCAAGAGTAAGAGCGAGAGCAGTTGGCACTCTCTGGGAGAAGGCGCGCTATACTCAGGAGAACGTGCAGCCTGTAGAGGAAGGAACGACGGACTAAGCTTTGTCGTTCGCGCTAGCATTGCTTTTCGAAGCGCGCGCGAGAACGGTCGTCTCGTTCGAGCTTGTCCGCTATTATATGTATATATCGATATATATATATATATAGATAGATATACACATACTGTATTCAGAAGCCAACGTAGAGCCGCGAACACGTGAGGCTCTCGTCGTCTCACTCGGGTACTCGACGTTATCTCGACACGTCTTGTGACATCTTTCAATATTTTCACGCTCGGCCGTGAAGCCGCGTTGCACTTTCCGAGACTCCCTGTGCGCCGTGACTTTTCAAAAGCGCGAAAAGAGAGTCATTAAAAAGGCCGGCGCGCGCACTATCAATCTCGCGCTTGCGGCTGCAGTACAACACGTTCCTCTTGCTTCCCATTTTCCGTCCTTTCTGTAATAATCCTTGGGATTTTGCAAATTACGCAACTTCCCTTTTTTGTGCACTTCTCTCGTTTGGATTTATCGATTTTAAGAAGAAACATATAGTTTCTTATTTTTACTTCCAGCTCCCTTTTTTAATATTTTGCTTTCCCTTCTTCTCTTGCCGTTTGTGTACTGTTGCTTTTGTTTTGGTGCAATGAAAAGATGAGTGTGACCCTTTAAGAGCAGCGGGTTGGAGGAAAGTGTGGAACGATTCGTTATATCACAGAAAAGGTATCTATTTTGTATCGTCATTTTGATGAATTGTGTATGTGATGTGTGTATGAAAAACATATAGTGTATGTATATAATTATTTTTATTATTTATAATGAATGACAGCAAATGTGCTCGAGTCGTTGCTTTTCGTCTGACTGACACTTGCGAAAGTTCATGAGTCTGTTTGAGATGCCACAACGCTGACATGAAGCATGCAAGAGATTTGTATGAATTCGACTCAGTTCTTTAAAATGTTTCTTGTTTACGACGTATGCAATAATGACTTGCTGTTTGAAGTTACATTATACAAAGAATTAACGTTAAATTATATAATAAAGGAATTAAGTCTATTTATCATAACAACGTGCCTTGTGCTTGATATACGTCAAAGAGTGCAGCATCGGTCCATGATGAAAATTTTGGCAGCAGTAAAATTAATATAACCCGGATAGTAAGAATGCCTTTGCCGCGTTTGTCAAACATCATGTTTACTGGTGCGGTACATACAGTTTCATTATTAAAAAACAAAATGAAATAGTACAGTCGGCAGTCTCCTGTGTAAAATGTCATTCTGGCAAGAGAAAACGACAGACAGAGACCCAGGGTGTCTGTCGACCCCTGTGACTGTGCGCAAAATAAAATTTGGTCGAAATTTTTATCACGATTTTTTTTCATACTATAAAAGAGAAAACGATACACGTCCTCTTTTAATTGAAGGCATTCGGTATTATACGATTCTACCTCGCATATGTTATTTATAAAGTGTAATATAACTGAAAATTACACACGGAGAATGTATTCGTAGAAAATAAAATTTCTTATTTCTATCGATATACTAACTTATGATTTTCACGATAACCGTTGACGATTTCTCTTCTCATTGGATATCATGTCTAATGAACAGAGTTTACCATAAACACAGTATATCATAGGATCGTTTATCTTCGAGAGATAAAGATTGGCGCACATCCGCAGCCTACATTTTGTTTAACGGTGCATTGGAAAACGTGCACTTCTGCATTCCCAACGAATGCTCGAACACGTCGAGCTTAAGTTTCGTGCATGTAGAAACTGACTGTGTTGAGCTGAACGCGTTGAACCTTTCGGAAACAAATAATACATATAGAATCTACTAGGTTCAAATAGTTTTCACCTTGCTATGGTATTTAAAAAAAAAAAAAAATGATGACAGAAGATAAATCTTGTTTTCGAATAGAGTTAAAAAATACCAGAGGGATGGAGCAGTTTTTTTTCTTTTACCGGAGTGCCAGTGACAGTGGGATAACATTCGGAGCATAGGTGTCTTCTTTAATCGACCGACGACTCATGTACATTATTAGAACCTAATCGATGGATGATCCTACGCGTCCATGAGGAGTATCTATTTTTCGTGCACTATGGGTCTCATACATATATTCCAGAATAACTCGTATCCAGAACCGAATTATAATTTTGTCCCAATTTTCAAATTGAGTTCGATATTCGTTATCATTTCGAAATCCACCTAAATATTACTATATAAAAATGACTATATATTTGAGGAAGTAACAGCTGTGACTTTTTTTCTTATATGACAATCATCGAAACACTTCTCTCAAGTGCATCACGTAACTTGACGTGTCTGGCAACAGAATCGTCAATATTGACTGGATCTGCTTTACAAACGCTTAGCTATTCGATGTTTAAATATTTGCTTGCTTTGAATGTCAAGTTTATTAACGCCTTCTTAGGTAATCTTGTTAAGTAAAATCCTTTAGACGTTCACTGAACTGTGAACTATTTATTACGTTCCCTAACGGTATTTTCATTATTATATATATAATAAATAGTATCTAAAAAATGTATAATAAATTGATCGGTAAATCAAATAAATTAATATTTACCCCCGATCCTCTAATTAATTTCCAGATTCAAAATGTTACGTGATATTGATTCTGAAGCTATCGAAAACAATATGGGTGTATATCTTACATGTTACAGACTACTTGAAAAAAACTCTAGTAGACATGCAGATATAATCAATAATGATCGATGTATTCTATCAAATTCCAATAGATCAGTAGCTGTATAGGTCAGTGATGGCATCGGTCAATGACGGGTAATCGATCCAAATAACGCCCACTGTTACACATTGAACGGATGTAGAATATTTTTCACTCTACGTGATGCACCGGAAGTCTATTTACTCCAATAAAATATGGCGGCTAACACAGGGCACCCACCCTACGACTGACACGACGTTTTAATATATTGCGACGTATATTAATAGAATCGTATACAGTCGGACCTGCGGCACCGACACCTCCGGCACTGACCAACCTCCGGCACTGACCGTTTGAAAACCTTTGAAACTGACAGCGGTGACAGTGCCGTCGCTAAACCGTGGGACTGTCTGTGGATGCATCCTCTATATATTACCAATTACTGTAGCGCATTACTTAGTCTAAAGAGACCCACTCTCTCTAACTACGTCCCTGGTGCTCAATCGCGATTGGATTGGACAGAAAGGTTATGTAAAACGATCAGTCCCTGAAACTTCGTGTATCGAAATCTGTCAGTGTCGCAGGTCCATACTGTATCTACAACTTCATAGAATTTTTTCAAATTTTTTTTTTCGTAACCATAGAATACTTATTCTTTTGTCAACGTTCAACTAAGCACCCATTAATGATAATTTTTCTGCCATGTTAAGACCTTATATATTTACGATTACTCGTTAAACTTCGTTTATATCTACAAATATATATATACATATATTGTAACCTTATTCGCACGATACAGTTCTCCGGATTGTGCCAAAAAGGCGGGTTCGAGCCAGAATCGACTGTTAGGAATTTAGGAAAAATATCAGGCGGAACAAATGAAAGTGAGATTTTGTTTTACAAATTAGAAAAGAAAATATATTATCCTACAACGGAATACAATAACTTTTAGTGCAGGTCCAGCCTAGAGAATGCTGGATGTTAGTGAGCGAAGAATAGATATAAACGTAAGCGGACAGTAAGAATGATTATAAATGGTATATACAACAGTTTAGTAATCGGACAGTTAATTGTATCAATAAGGTTGTTACACGCAGTTTACCTATACGATATGTCTGCCGGAAACGGAAATCGTAGGTAAACTTCTAGTCTCGTGTGATTCTATATTGGCTCTTATTTTGATTGTATCAATGAAATATAGAATCGTGTCTGAAAGCAGCCTCCGACCAGCGGAATTTGATTACGGAGTTGACACGTTAAAATATAAGCGTCGTGCTGTTGAGCAGTTTTCCACAAGGGAACTCGTGATCACAGGTAGACGTGGTCCTATCTAAAAACAACGTTGCTATCTTGGCTAGGTGAGAAGTCTCATTCGCAACGTAGCTAGTTGTGCAAATCTTTGAATAAAGTTAGGATGGCATGTATAGCGGAAACGGTACAATGATCAAGTGTATCAAAGTGACGGCCCAACTGAAATCCAGAGATTGATTCTATCTGGCAGAAGAGACGGATTGCTCGTTTACTTTACTAAAGGTAACCTAGCAAGCTCAGGTGATAGAATGCTCGAGTCGCGAAACGGCGCCGTTTATAAACCCGTCAACGGTAGGCCAGGGGGCCTGAGAGGTGCGGAAGAATTGAGCGTTGCGATGCCTACGAATTGTTAATACTTGATATTTAAGGTTATTCGGGTTAGCGGGATCTTATTATTACCGCGATACGAATATCCTCGGATGTATAGGTTACAATATGTACATATATATATATCTGTAAATATATTTCCAAGTATCCATGACAGCAAATGAAATATGTATATTGGTCGCTCGGTACAGACGCTAATGGCCACAGCCTGGCACTTGCATTTTTTCGACAAAAGGTTAACATCACTTGGAAAGTCGAAAACTCAAGACGTCTTAAAATCCTTAGACACGTGTTCTAAATGTTTATATTTCCATATATATTGAATCTTCATGTAAAGCTTTTCTCACGCGTAAACATACGCATACGAAATATAGGTATACATATTTCGACTCTGGGAATTTATACAGTCACTGCATAATGTTCTTAGTTACATCAGTTCTGATTTAAGAATTCTTAACATACCTATGTATAGTATGTATAACTATATACATATGCATACATGCTAATTTTCTTAAATATCATTCACGCATTAGCACATAGTGTACATCCTTATGAACCTATATCACCTGCTCACCAAATAACTGGTCTCGTGATCAAAACACATTTTTAATTTCTTGACCGAATTCATTCCCAACATACGTTATACATACTTATAGGCTCAGGGAACATTCGAGCGTCCGCATTTCCGTACGTGACGCAATGCATAAACCTTCCACGATAGTAAACACGGATCGTAGCGCGACGAATCGTAGAAGCACTGGGATACGTGTTCTGCGTCGAACGCAGAGAAGCAATAAGAAAAGAAAAGGAAAACAGACTAATAAATCTGTCGGTGACAGAGGCCAGAATGATTTTTAGCCTAGGAGTCAAAGTCAATCACGTAAATCAAATTATAGCACTTTGATACGTGTGATATATATACAAATCACTGCGTCGAATCATTCACATAATCCTGTGGGTACGCATATATGGAGTTTCAACTATGAATCTCGTTCATAAAGAATATTTCGTACCAACAATATTTCCACATTAATTATTATTCAAAATTGTCGCTAGCAACAAATGAATCATTCATCCGAATTAATTGAAAGTGCAGTTTGTACTTTTTAGTATCGAAGAATCGTCATCAAGATTGTTGAGTTAAAAATAACCATTACCTACACGCGCTATAGTGCAGTCTGCTATTGCATGATACATATATATGTATATTCATGTATGCGCTGCATACGTGATTAGTTTATTCGCGATTAAGGCCACGTTTATGAGGTACTCAATTTCGAGGGCACGTGCATTTTGCCAAGGAAAGATCCTGAGGTTAGAATCGAAGATTCCTTCAATCTTTAGAATTCACAATGAATTTTGTCACTTGTTTTCTACAATCCCAAGACAATGTTTCT